AGGGGTTCCCACTCTTCACTGAATTTTAAAGAGAAATCTGTCCACACTGCTTCAGGAGCATGAGGAGGATGAGTCACTGAAGGTGTACGACTGTGTGGCATCCACACATAGATGGAGGTCATCATTTATGACCCGTTGTCACCAGTATCCGAGGAAAGAAGTTTCTACACATCAGCTTTCCAATTGCAGAAACAAATAGTGTACTTCTGTTGCACAACATATCATGCATGATATTTAAAGTGGTCAGCCATCAGTGATTTTGCTTTATTGTTCACACAGGTTTGATCTTAATGTCTGCTTTTTTTTGCGGTCATGTGTCAATAAAATGATCAACTACTGATTCGGGATGAGTACTCGCCGTTGACCCCATTGTTCGAGTAACATTTCGTTACTCGCGCACCTGTGCAAGCGCTGCTTTTGGCTACAAAAACTTGAACTCATACAGGGTTACATGTGCGACCCAGCTTTTTTGTTTTCGCCTAACTGAATATACTAGGCAGGAAAATATTTAACGGGAAACAAACTTACGACTTCTCTGGCCAAAAACAGCTGTTTTTTTACGGCAGCTACGGCAACTCTCTAGGACCAAATTATTGCACCGAAAGCAAAAGCACAACAAATACAGAACCGTCTGCTACACCTGCGACATGTCAGTCAAGGAAAGTGACGTCTGGAAGTACTTCGACAAAAACGATGAAGTTAATGTGCAGTGCAACGCAAGATATGTGGCGTTAAACTTGCATACCATAGAAATACTAGTTTGATGCTTAACCACAAGCACAAGTAGAAAACAGAGGAGACAGAAAACAGGCAGTCTCGCATCACGTGAAATTGAAATCGCTTTCTGTTGTTGGTTATCTATTTATATTTATGTTTAAATAGTGGATGTTTATTTCATTTTACAGGCATAAAGTCTTCCGACGGTAAATAATAATCTGCGGGTACTCGGGTATTCGTTCATTAGGTAATTCGAGTAATCGAGTACACAGATTACTGTAAATTCCCATCCCTACCACAGATTGTCCTCTCCGGTTTATTGTCTATAAATAGTTTCTGAATTTCTTTTGCCTAGACATTTGCAACCTCATATTCTACTTCCCACAAGGCCTTATGGCAGATGTAGGAAACAACACACTGCCTTTTTGCAATGAAGTGAGAAAAAACATGCTGTGATTCAAATGCAAATGAAGCCAAAATAATGTGTTCATTAACATGAGCGATCATCCACGTCAAGCAAACCAATCAGAAAGTTCAACATCCTGAGTGAGAAATAGAAGAAAAAGCACACCAATACTTCACAGGATAATATGGATGCAACTCATGAGGGGGAACTTTAATTTAACTCTTTGAACTGTCCTATCACAACCTCTGATGCAATCTAAAAACAGCTACTGAAAAAGTACAGCTGGAACTCGAGGCGAAGTCTATGTTATCGAAACAACTTCCCCTAAACTTTGATTATATACATTCATGAAATCATATATTTACCAGGAACTTGAAGCTTAGAATAAACAGATTTTCTGTAAAAATGTCTAAAGTTTTGTGACAGGTAACGGACATGACAGTGTCTTTATGAAGTAACTGCCGGACTGACATTAATCATAGTGAAATATGTATGTCTGCAAGGAAAGCTCATTGTATGTCTGCAGGTAAGGCTCACTGTCTACAGGTAAACCCTCCACAACCGCCCATTAATGGCCAAACAAAACACTATACAGGACAATCAGACGTGTTGTAAGTGGAAAGTTTAAGTGACTGGTTATTAGGTGAAGCAGAGTAATGTAAACAGCAGTGTGCATAAGAAGTGACAGCTTAGCATGTCTGCAGGTAAGAAACTGTACAGCATGTCTGCAGGTGAAGTTGTGTGACTGCATGCGATTACTGAAGTTTATGAGTAGAGAATTAAATACCAGAAGGCTCAGAGACTGGAAGTGGACACCACACCCATCCGGCAGAAATTGGCATGGCACCAGCCTGGTTTTAGTTTTAAGAAGTGTAACTGGATACGCTAATATTATGCTAACATCAGGGATCTCACACAGTGTTTCTATCTGGAATTTAGGTAATCCAGGCTGCAGGTAAGCAAACATTCACAGGCGTCATTCGGACCAGGTCTCTTATCTGTTTCTTTCATAGATGATGAATTAAAGATTTGAGGCTGATTTTCAAAAGGAAGCACTCTGGCTTTTAGTAGAAGTTAATGGCAGGAAGCCTGGCAAGGAACACGGAAGCCCAAAGACAGTGTTTAAAAAAAAAAGAAAAAGAACGAACGAACGAAGATGTACCAAGTGAAATAAGCAGGACATGAAAAGATGAGCAATATTTTTCTGTGAAGGAATGCTTACGCTGTGCAAAAAGACGACTTGAGATAACGTGCTGTAATGTTTGCCATATGTCTCAACAGGATGTGAGATAAACCAATCAGCTTCCTTGACACAGAATGGTCTACAGTCAGTGCATGCCGCATGTTCATCTCTGCAGACACGTTACTCCAGCTCTGTAGTAAAGACTGCAACTCATCAATTCATCGCGTCATCAATTCATCATCCTTCATGATATTTAGGAGATGCTGAACTGGCATTAAAACAAAAACGCAGCGTCCTCACTAGAAAAAGATAGTCTCTGTTCCCTTTTTTTTTTAAATGAAAAAGTTGCCCCAAATGTTTCTTTCAATTTTTTTTTTTTAATTAATTGATCGGCAGTTGTAAGCAGCTTTAAGCAAAAACAACCTTAGCTCTGCAAAAAATATCATATTTTATGGAAAAACTACATTTTTTAACATCAGGGTACCAGAGCAGTCGCCATTTCTTGAAGGAAACACCTTTATGAAGTATAGGTGTTTTCTTCTTTTAATGAATAAGATCACAAGACATGATTGATACGGGGCAGACCACCGTAGCTGAACCATTCTCTGAGACGGCAATTATGCCATGGTGGAAAATTTCAATAAATCCTCCGATAAAGACACCCCCAGAATCTTTCATACTAAGTGTTAATAATGTGTAGGTCTGAGGACTGAAAGATACTATAGTGAAATATGTGATTCTCTGCATACACATGTCAATAAGCCTCTGAATCTGTCATACTGATCCAATAAATCAGATCAGTGCTTCACTAATAATCTGCTTCTTCCTTAAAATGAGATAAATCTGAATAGGTTTTGGTTGCACAGACAACCCTGTAGACTTAGACAATATCAAAACCATCAATTATTCCCTGAGGGTGCAGTATGCAACATAGTCGCCTTATAGCGCCAATTTATCAACCTATAGGCCTAATCAACATTTTTCCTGTAAAAGAACATTAAAGTTTTCCTTGCCAGTGTATTTCCCTGCAACAAGCTTTCTCTGTTTGGCTGAATTTAGCAGCAGAGGAAAGCAGAAGGAGCAATGCCCTCGTTTGGAGGTCACAAGCTGAGGAGGAGTCACCATGAGCCAAGATGCGGGATCCCCCCTCCTTCCTAACGCAATAAGGCAGGACACACCCAGATAGAGAGGGGAGGAGGTGGAGGGAGCAGGAGCTGGAGAAGAGGATGAAATGAGAGGAGAGAAAGAGAAAGAAGCAAGAGCAGCTACTGGTGCTCATCCGCCCATCTCTGCAGATGACGTAAGAACAGTTGATCGCGAGCTGAATGCCCGTTAATTAAAATAAAAACCAGTTATGTAGAGATTTTTTTTTTCCCACCCCTGTTTTCCAGCCTGAAAAGCAGAAGTAACCTAGTGTTTACAATGTGACAGTGCTAAATGTGGTCAAACGACTCCAACAAGCTGAACAAGCTTCACCTGAAGGCGCCGCATTCATGACAACTGTGCAATGACACCACAGAGATACCAGAAACACACACACAGGCTTTAATATCAGACTGCAGCAACCAGTGTTAGTTGGGGGGGGGGAAACGCGTATTTTTTAAATGAAGTTTCATGACACAGTGTAATTTCACTGACGACAAAGGGGGGGGGGTTCCTTCTGTTACCAGGGGAAATATCACACGGAAAACAAAACATTGCAGGCATAGAGACTATGAGCAAACTGTTTCCAGACACTCGGAGACATCATGAGGCGGACTGAGTCCTGCCTCTCAGCCTCCGCAACAGTCGACACTGTCGCCCGGGGAGACCCCCCCCCACCCCTCACCTCACAACAGTGCCATTCACAATCTCACAATTTAACATGGACGTCCTCTTTAAACAGGGTGCATGGGGATTTTTCCAGCATTAAAACTCACACTCAGCATCAGTAGAAGCACCTCTTTAATTCGGCGTACCTTCAGTACATGAACAACATCGCAATTTACTAAATTGTTAACTTTAACCAAACGGTACGCAGCCATCGTTCATATGTGGAAAACACACAGCAGTGGGCGAATGAAAGTAGCCTGTACACAACACTGCGTACCAAGTCTAAAAGTTAATATTTGATCAAAATGACAAGACATGCGATGTATCATAAGTGTTATTATTTCTAATCCATCTTATAACTATACTTTGTTTTGTCGAATAGTCGATTTTTTCTTTTTTTAAACGTCCACATTTTTGAATGGAGACTTGACAGCGTTTACTGCAGACGAGAGAAAGGCACGTAACGTTACCGGGGCGAGAAAAAGGGGGAGAAAACGTGTCTGGAGAGTTTGTGAGACACTGTTGCGGTTATCGCTGAATATACGATAATAAAAAAAAACTGAGGTTACAATGACTCTTTTGAGATTAGTTGTGCGTTCACACCTGTGGGAAATCCAAAAAAAAAAAAAAATCGCCTGTTGTCGCTAATAAGTGGGTGTCAAGGTAAAGAAACGTAACCCGGATGCTAAGCAGTGCGGACAACTGGGAACACGATAGACTCCTTAAAAACGCGTAAAATTCACTTTAATTGAAACAGGAAGCCGCACAAATGGTGGTTTTCTTGTCTTTCGGCTACAAGTGAATCGAAAGAAATGGGACTTGTAGCGCTTAAAGTTTGTAAAAAAAAAAAAAAAAAAAAAGCTAGAGAATATAAGACCTTACCTCCTCTCGGGGATCCTCGTCCAAATCAAGTCCTGTGGTCGTGTTGGTGAGGAAGAGAGCGGCTTCTTCACTTCAGAGGGGTTTGTCCATTTCCCAACAGGGCTCCCAACTTGACAACTGCAGTGGTGGGAAAATGATTGACACACCGGGTGGAGAAGAAGAAGAAGAAGAAGAAGGAAGAAAGAGAAGAAAGCTCTTCGGCGTCCTTTTTGTTCCGGCGCTTAAACCAGTTTCTTTGCCAGTCTAATTAGCCCACATTCGTGTCTGCATCGAGCTATGTGGGTCCTGCAGCGGAGGACGCAAGATCCAGAATGAGTCCGAAACCAATCCGTCAGAAAAGGAAGAAATAAACTTCCCTTCTCTCTCCTGGAATAAAAGAGGCAGAGGAGGGGAAGGCTCTGATAACAAAGCGCAGATCCAGTAAATGAGGACTGGTGGTGTGTTTGTGTTGGAGAGCGGTGGGTGGGACTGGGGAGGGGGTAGAGGGGGAGGTGGGGGTCCGACACATTCAAACAGGACCTTAGAAAAGACCCAACGTCCGGATCACCGTCTTTTTCCTGGCGAGCTGTGGGGGAACTGAAAGAGAGAGAGGGAGGGAGGTGAGCTGGTGCTGGTGGAGACCGCGAGAGAGAGAGAGAGAGAGAGAGAGAGAGAGAGAGGGAGGGAGGGAGGGACCAGCCCGGGATTACCCTGTATTTAAGGTGGATCTATGAATTAATGAGGTAATCAGGCAGAAACAGAACCCTGCTATCGAGAACATCAGCCCCCGGGCGCAGACTCAGCCTGCTGCAGTCCCGGAAACTTGAGATGAAGCGTCACATGAGAGGAGAGAGAGGAAATCCACATCTGGATCTGGTCTGGATTACAGTATGGAGGCTCATTTCCGCCCATGGCACAAAATCCACTGATGCGATTTTATCACATTTATTATTTCATAGTTTCTTCTATTTTATTCTTCTACTAAGAGTGGAGGGCAAAATGCACGATAAGGGGAAAGAAATAGATTTAGATTTAAAAGTTTTTAAAAGTCACAATATTTTCAGAATAAAATCGCAATGCGTCATGAAAAAGAAAAGTTATATCAAGATTAACGTCAGAGTGTTTCAGCAAATATAATTAGTAAAACAGTAAAAAGGTTTTAGCATACAGAAGGAAAATTACAATAACATAATAACTGATCAAATCAACATGAAATTACTTTATTTGTTGTGGTGTATTTTGCACATTGGTTAAAAATTTGCAGACAAATTTAAAATAATATTTCAAGATTGAGGAAAAGGATTCATGTAAGGCCAAGACAAATTTACTCATAGGGACAATAAAGTATATCGTGTCCTATCATATCGTATGGCAAGGTCAAACATTTTAGTATTTAGATGTCCAAAATAGTAAGTCTAATTTTAAAAAAAACGAGATTTCTGGAGGGGTCGGAAGTTCAAAGAAATTATGTTGAAATGCTCGTTGGCGGGGAACTCAAAAATTCAGAATGATGGAAAAAAAAAACAAGGCACTCAAACACATTCATACACCGACGAAGCAGTGGGAGCAACTTTTGGTTGAATGTCTGCAGCAGCTGGAGTTTGAACCCACAGACCTTCCAGTTGAGAGACAACCGACTCTACCAGCTGAGCCACAGCCGCCCCAAAGAATTACTACAGGATTCATTAAAGGTGGCACATCAGTAAGATATTCAGATTGAATAAATGCTGTTGTGACTGGATCTGGAGCCACAAAAAAAACACTATTTACACTTTTACGATGGCTCAACTCAAACGTGCTGTAAAAGATATTCAATTGAATCTGAGCTGAATTGAAATTAAATGTCAGCGGAGACAGATGAGGCAGAATCTCATTTGAGAAGCGGATGTTATTGTATGTATTAAACATTTAAAGAGAAAGAGAAACTCGTCTTTTCAAATGTTTTAGATTGTCATGTAAATCCATTTCCGCTGAGAAGTAGTTTTTTTTAAAACAGCTGTTATGGTAAAAAAAAAAAAAAAATCTGTGAAACTGCTCCTACTGAATCCTCAAGCGCTCAGTTTCACATCTGCTTAATATGCATTTATGAAACAGACAAATTACATCCTTATAAATAAGAAATGGAGAAGTACACTGCTGAGGCTGTGCTCGTGTTTGTCGTGAACATTTCTGATCCAAACACAGAACATGAACCAAGAATCTGAAAAGAAATTTCTCTCTGACTGCCAACTGGCCACTCAATCAGCACAGCCTCCTACGCTATGCTAATGACAGGGAGGCAGAGAGGTGGTTAAAGCTGCCATTTAACAGCACAGTACACAGCTTCACTTTCAGTACACACTGACTGCAAGATGAAGGAGAGCTGCTGATTCTCATATCTGCTCTCAAAAGTCTCCATCAGTCACAGAAAACCACAGATTTTCATCCATTGTGTGTGTGTAAAGCTGTGTACAGATCCAAGAACTGGACATTTTTCATTCAATTTTATCTGTACATACAGCCCAGTATCACAGATAACAAATGTGCCTGGAGGTGTTTCACAATCTGTACATCATCTAACACCATCTATCCATAGTCCCTTGGTCTCGATTAGGAAAAAAAACTCACCTGATAAAAAAACATTTTAAGGCGCAGAAATCAAAGAAATCTCAGGTAAAAATTGTGTCAGCCCCGTTTCCACCAAGCGGGTCAGGTTTGGTTCAGTACAGTTTGGTACGCTGAACCCTGATCTTGCTTGCGTTTCCACAGCCAACCGTTCCCACACATCGCCAAATGATTAGGGCGGCAACAGCTCACTCCCGACGCTTCCTCCTCTACCTCTTCTTTCCTGTTTCTTTTTTCTCTCTTACAGACGGATGAATCTCCTAAATGTTTCTTTGTTGACCTTCATTGACAAACTTTGTTTTTCACAGCAATAATGCATGCAACACTTAGCAGGGCACCAAAAAACGAGTGCTGTCAGACGGGGCCCCCTTAGGGAGGATTCCTAGTGTCATTGTAGAATTTGCATATTTTGAGACATTTTCTGGTTTAAAGTTTTTGAGCCCCCCTACTGGTCTGGGGTTCCAAGCATTTGCCTGCCTTGCCTGATGACAAGCAGCGCCTCTGGGCACCACAACAGGAAGGTGCCAAAAAAAGTAGGACGGGATAAATTATTTTGACACCCTTCCTAACTTTTGACAGTGGAAACATGAATAAATGTGTAAAGAGCTGAGCGGGACTGCTTGGTGGAAACGGGGCCTCCAGTTTGGCACTGGGCAGGCAGGATTCAGTTAGTTTTGTGGCATCATTCAGGCGGCATTACATTTCCCCAAAAGCATATCTGCTGTAAGTATATAACCATCATTTCTGGAACACGGGCCTGCCAGGTGGTCATTTTGTCTTCTGTCTCTACAATCAGCCGTTAAACACTAGAATTAAACTCTTCACGTAGAAAAGTTGGCTACCTGCAGGCTCTCAGTGGCTTGACAATGAAGTAAATGTCTATTTTTTTTTTCACACAGTGCAAATCAGAGTGCTTACCTGTGACCTTAGCTTTAACCTGTTGGCATTATTCAGAAGGATTTCTACCGGTAAGGTGAGGCACTTTGTGAGGATGACTCCAGAGGTGTCCAACTGATCCATCCAGAGCCAACCGGTCTGCAGGTTTTCATTTGAATCACCTCAACAGGTGGTTTCACTGCTGAGTTTATCTTCTCCACTTTAATGAGTGCTTATTAGTGGGTGGAGTGTTTGCTGTTTGTTGAGTATAAACCTGCAGTCTGTTGGCTCCTCACTCCTCCCTGTTATTGATGCTTTAGGTCATAGTTGGTACAAGTTGTAAGCGCTTCATATTTGGAATATACATGCTCAGGTATAAAGACATGTTCAAAGGTGTTTGAGGCTCTTATTGTTTCCAAAAAAGAAAATAAGAACATGATTGCGTTGCATTTAGAATAACAATGGATGGCTTTTCTATCAGAAAACACTTCTGACATATGAACAGGACAAAATTGACAAAGAATCCATTTTGTCAACAACAACCCAAAAGTTCCTCACAGGAGCTTTAAGCCAAAATGAGCACAACAAATACAGGACATCAAACTGATTTGAAGGCCTAGTCCACATGGAGTGTTTATATATATATATATATATATATATATATATATATAATCCTGCTCACACGCTCAGTTGTCAAAGATATCTTCATCCACATTAAAACGCAAAACAACGTATTGTTATGGCATTTCTTTGACATGGGAGATTTTTCTCTCCATTCTTCTGCAATGACCATTTCATTATCAAAGTTGTCCACCACCTGAAGTCTGACCGGGTCTCATCCAAAACTGGTTTGTGTTGTACGAAGCAGAAGTGATCTCTGTGGTCTATTCAGGCGTCTCGGCTAGTCAACATAGTGGGAAAGTAACTGTGTATGTGTGTGTAAAAAGTCCAGTTAGCAGACGTTAACACCAGCACCAGTTTGAATACGTCTGCTGTCGCACATATAAACAAAAGTGACAGCGTCGCACATTTATGTCAAGCGGGGGAGAAAATGGTGCGCAGTCTGACGTTACAAGACCAAAACTCTGTTCTCCTCGTCTACACAATAAACACCTTAAACTGAGTTTCTGAAAATCTTCACCAAAAGGTGCATCCAAAACACACATAAAACACTATGTTTTCAAAAGATTACCACCTACGTTTGGACTAGGCCTAAATTTAAAAAATGTAACAATTAATTTTGTATAATAACTTTCAAATCAACATTCTTGTAAAAGCCCAGCAGGGAGTGACTGCTGCTTTCAAAAAACCGTACAACTAAGTCTATGAGAAAAGAGTCGACCACTATTATTTATTATTAATAATTCATTTCTTACCTCACTCAACATGTTCATGATGAGTTGTTAATTTAAGAAGTTTCAAACAAAAGTTCCTACAAATGGCCAGCAGGGGGCGACTCTGCTGGTTGCAAACAGAAGTCGGTTCTTGTTATGGTCGCAAAAAGAGGATTTTCAAGTTCTATTAAATATTCCATCATGTTCATTTAGTTCATAAGGGTCCTGTTTAGAGTAAATTATATGATAAACCAGAAAATGCTTTGAATTTTTAACCTCAAAGACTGGTAATGTGTCATTTTCTCTGTTGCTTCGGTTTTATGTAGAGATGTTTATCACCTTTGGTTACGTTTCAGTGTTAGTGCTGTGCCCCTCCACCTGTTCTACCCCCTGCTGTGGGTCAGATTGGAGGAATGTGCCGTGTCACGACTCACCTGCCTGATTCACTGCAGGGTTTCGCTTCCAGTCCTGGACACACTGTTGCCACAACACACACTGTGTGTCTAATGTCAATATATTCTACAGAGTGTGTCTGAGGCAGGACAGGCCAGAGAGGAGACAAACATTAAAGTCTCAGTGATTGTCAATGTTTAAACCTTCTTTTTAAATCAGTGGGCAGAGTGTGTCAGGGCATTTCAACCTGGTGAGAGATATAAATATTACCACAGACACTGATATACAGTATTTCATAATCTGGTTTACTTTTTTTTTTAAAGAAACATGCTCCCAGATGAAGCCCCGCTGTGTGACAATAATAGTGAAGAAGTCAATTTTCTTCACTGTTTACTGTCCAGA